AAAAAAAAAAAAAAAAAAAAAAAAAATATATATATATATATCTGTCTTCTCCCCAAAATGTCAGCTCACTGAAGATAAACTATCTCTCTCATGTCCACTCATCTTCTAATTGTCTAGTACAGTGTCTGCCTCAGTTTGACAGGTCCTAGGAACAGCAAGGAGTTCAGAGTGGCTACAGTGGGGAAAAAAAAAGTCAGTACTTTTGCTTATGCTGTGCCCTCAGCCTGGAACATCCTTTGCTCTTTTAGCCTATATACAAAATATCATTTTTAAGGATCATCTTTCCTCCTGGAAACCTTCCTCTCATGCACCGCCCAAAGCCCTCATAATGCCCTGTACACATCTTTGCTGTTGCTCTTGCCAGATTGTGGTCTGATTATCTATGTTTGGTCTCTCCCACTAGACAGGGAGTTCTCTGAGGATAGGATCTAATTTTATGGTGTGCTAAGAACCCAACACGGGATGGTGCGGTGGCTTAAGCCTGTAATCCCAGCACTTTGGGAGCCCATGGGTTCGAGACCAGCCTGGGCAACTTGGCGAGACCTCATCTCTACAATTAAAAAAAAAAGTTAGCTGGGTGTGGTAGCACGCGCCTGTAGTTCCGGCTACTTGGAAGGCTGAGGCAGAAGGATCGCCTGAGCCCAGTAGGTCAATGCTGGGGTGGCCGTGAACATGCCACTGTACTCCAGCCTGGGCGATGGAGTGAGACTGCAACTCAAAAAAAAAAAAAAAAAGAATCCAACACATGGTCCTTAGACTGAGGCTCAGAGATATGAAATGATTTACCCAAGGCCACGAAGCTCAGAAGCAGCAGAGCTGGCAATGGGACCCAAGTCCATTGGAGGCATCTTTCAGTTAGGCATTTATGAGATCCTTGTTGCTACACTTTGGCTATCCCTAGCCCCAAAGAGTAGCTCCTTCCACATCCCGACAGTTGGGATACTACCCCCCTCCTAAGCATATGTACACACACATAAAGCTTATTGAACAAATGGCTGAATGAGTGAACCAGGAATGCAGCAGACCAGTATGATGTCCTGACCATATTTCTGTGTAGATATGCTCAGTGACCAGCTGTGCTTAGCCATGGACATGCGAGCCACCCAGCTGGCCAAGTTGGAGGAGTCCTGTCGCATGGCCATGATGTCTGCCATGGCCAATGCCAACAAAGCCCAGGTATGGCCTAAGCTATCTTCCCAACCCCTGAATCATGTCCTGGGAACCTTAGCCACATCCCTCCTACACATCCTTTCTCAAGTCAGCACCAGCCCTCCCTACCGGAGCACTCCCCCTTCACCTAAGGTCCCTATAGAGCACAAGTCACCTTTCCCTACCTCCAGGTGCAAAATGACTTGAGAACAGAGCAGTGCCCTCTCATCCCCAGCCTCTCAGTCTAAGGGCTTCCTGAGGGCAGAGAAGTTCCCTGCCTATCCTATCCCTTCCCCCATGTTAGGGTCTTTAAAAGATCATGTAATGTCTGTCCTTTCTCTCCCTGAGATGGAGGAGTAGGACCATATTCTCCTACCCTGTGACAAGAGTTTCCTAAGGCTGGGCACTCAAATGCTTACATTTGGGGACCCCACTAGGCAGCTGACCGGGCTAAGCAGCAGCGCCATGAGTATCAGCGTGAACAGGAGGCTAACCTCATGGAGATCCAGAACCAGATCATAAGTGACCTACTGACTGAGAACCCCCAGGTCGCCCAACAACCTATAGCTCCCCACCGGGTCCTGCCCTATTGCTGGAAGGGCATGACTCCAGAGCAACAAGCTGCCATCAGAAAAGTCCAGGAGACGCAACGCCTTGAGAAGGAGGCACAGCGCCAGGCCCAACAAGCATTGGATACCGAATGGGAAAGCCAGACCATGCACTCCACCCAGGCAGTGCTGGAGCTAGAAGAGCAGGAGAGGGAATTGTGTGCTGAGTTTCGGAGGGGGCTAGGCTCCTTCAACCAGCAACTGGCTAAGGAGCAAAAAGCCCAGTGAGTTCTAGGGAGTGGTGGTGGGGAGAATGCCAAGGGAAGGAGGGGAGAGATGGTGCGGACCAAGGAGAGAGGTGAAGCTGAGGCCTCTGAATTTCTTTCACAGGCGGAATTATCTGAATTCAATAATTTACAACAATCAACCTACAGCCCAATATCACCTACAGTTCAACACCAACAGCCGCTGAGCTCAGGATGGTCATCTCTACCTTCTCTTCCATCAAGCTCATAGATAGCTATGAGTCAAAGAGGAAAATGCTGCATACCTTTACTTTTAACCCTAGATAATAAAGTTAACTAAAAATCAAGGCCACGAGTTGTTAACAGGACATAAAATGTGAGGTACTACCTTTCTCACCCTACCCAGGGTCTAAGCATCCAACCCTGTAGGAGCCTTCACCTTTCTCCCCATGCCAGGTCCCCCAGTACACAGTACTACCCACGCCCTGTGAGAAATAGAGACTTTATTAGGCACAGAGGGTGACTGGTGGGCAGTTACAAAATGGTACTGGGCTTCCTCCCAAGCTGGAGAGTAGTATCCCAGGGGAAGGAAGGGCAGAGGGAGTATGTGTTTTCTCTGCTTCCTCCCTTCAAGGCTGCATGCGGATGGCTCCATCCAGTCGGATGACCTCCCCATTGAGGAATGGGTTCTCGATGATGGCCTGTACCAGGTGCGCATACTCAGCAGGATCACCCAGTCGGTTGGGGAAGGGCACTTGGCTGGCCAAGAAGTTGCGCACCTTCTCTGGGAGGCTGGTCAGCAGTGGGGTGCCAAATAGACCTAAACAAGGCAGCCAAAGTCAGAGACCCACCCTTGCTTTCATATTTACCCAGTCTTTCCTCACTTTAGTCCTATATCTTAGTGCTTCCCTAGGACTCAGAGATGAAAGACTACTGTTGCTTAGGTGGTGAATACCTTCCCCTCTCAATTGCCCATGGATCCCATGAAATCCCAGATATGGCAGGGAGAGATTATATCTACCTGGAGCAATGGTCATCACCCGGATGCCTATGGGAGCCAGATCCCGAGCAATGGGCAGTGTCATGCCCACTATGCCTCCCTTGGAAGCAGAGTATGCAGCTTGTCCAACCTGGAGAAGGAGTGGAGGTCATAGGTGGGAGAGCCCCAACAAGTCATTGAGGAGGCACAAGCCTTGCCTTTGTCCACACACCTGGCCCTCGAAGGCAGCCACACTGGCAGTGTTGATGATGACCCCACGTTGGCCTCCCTGGTCTGGTTCATTCTGGCCCATCTCACCAGCTACCAGGCGGATCATATTGAAGGTGCCTAAGAGATTCACCTGGAGGGCAGGTAGAGACATAATACAGGGGCTGAGGCAGCCTTTTGTCCCCTAAAGCTTCAGGGATACCCATAGCCAGACCACTTACTCCTAGCCCTAGAGAACCTCCGAAGGCCTTACATTGAGAACTCGCTGGAAGTCATCTAAGGTATGAGCCTGGCTCTTCTTTAAGTTGTATGTCTTGATGGCCACTGCAATGCCTGCACAGTTGACAGCCACATCCACACGGCCAAATTTTTCTTTTGCTAGAGTCAGGGCTGCTTGCACATCTTTCTCAGATGTCACCTTCAAAGGGAGAAGATATTCATCTCCCAGCACACACATTCTTCACTAAACCTGGGGTATGGGGGGAGGGCAGGACAGGCTCAGTCCTTGGGTGAGAAAAGAACTGTGAGAACAAGGGAGAAGCCAAGAGCAAGGGTTGCGGTAAAACTTGAGAATGGGGCAAAGGTGAAAATGTTAAAAGTTCCGTAGAGTAATGCTGTAAAACATTTTTTCAAATCAGAACCCTCTTTTGATAAACTCACATGCCTCTGGAGGTTCTCAACTGATGTGGATCAGAACACTGATACAACCCTGTTTTGAGAATTATTAATTTTTTTTTGAGTCAGAGTCTTACTCTGTCGCCCAGGCTGGAGTGCAGTGGCACACTCACGGCCACCCCAGCGTCGACCTGCTGGGCTCCTACGATCCTTCCACCTCAGCCTTCCACGTAGCTGAAACTACAGGCGCATGCTACCACGCCTGGCTTATTTTTTGATTTATCGTAGAGAGGAGGTCTCACCAAGTTGCCCAGGCTGGTCTCGAATCCCTGAGCTCAGGCAATCTTCTCAACTCAGCCTCTCAATGTTTTGAGAATTATTGACGGAAAGATAAACTAGTTTTCTTTTATCTCCATCTGCTAAGACGGTTTCATCAAGCTTTACCCTCTGTAGTTTGTTTCATGAAAACAAGGTTTTCAGCTTCATCAATATAAAATTACAGGGCACAATATGCATTTTCCACTATGCCTACCCCCTCCAAGAGATCGTTATGTCTAATCCATCCCCATTCCCATTGTTGTGAATCTCATCTTTAGAGAAACCTTGTAACTGGTGGCCCTAGAGTGCTTGAAGGCTCAAGTCAAAAGGGACAGGGAGAAGACACCCTTATGGTAAGGACCTCTATGGGTTACCAGACCGGTGTTGGTGACCCCACTTACGTCGGCTGGGGCAAAGACGCAGCTCTTTCCAAACTTCTTGGCCTGGGCCTCCCCGCCCGAGTTGGGCAGGTCCAGAAGCACAGCAGCAGCCCCCTGTCTCACCAGTCGCTCCACCGTGGCCAGGCCCAGGCCCGAGGCTCCTCCGGTTATTACTGCGACCAAACCCTGTGAAGAGGGACAAGGGCAGCTACTACACTGCCCAGACCATCCCCACCCTGTCACCTGCCCGTTCTCCAGGCTTCTGCAGAGAAGAGGGAAGAGGTCTTGGTCACCCCTGGGGTGTGACCTAGCTGTGTTTCCTCTCCTCACTGACAAGACCTCTGGTGGGGGCGGGAATCTCATCCCCAGACACCTTGTCCGGTCACCCCACATACATATGCCGCAGTGTTCCGCGGAGTGTTGACTTTTGTCCTGAGCCCAACCGCCGCGATACCAGGTCTTAGATAAGCATGACCCTTTCTCCCGGCAACGCTGCGCTATCCCAGCCCGAGCAGCAGATCAAGCAGCAGAAGCAAAGAGCGCTCTACCTGCACATTTCGCAACGCCGCAGCCATCTTGCGCCGACTTTCCACCAGATGGCTGCTTAGGCGCTCGCTGATTGGCGGAGGGCGGGGTGCGGCAGGGGCGGCCGGCCGCCGCGCGAGACGTAGGGGCGTGGCCCGTTGCCCTATCCTATTGCGAGAGGGCGAATTCATGATAAGGTGTCCCCAGGGGGTTATTTCACCTGGACTAAGAGCCCAGCAACAGCAGCGCAATACTGCAACACCCTCCGCTCTACTCCCTAGCTGGCCTTTTGGCAGGTGGCCGACTCCGCGTGGTGGGAGGGGTGTGGAGATTGAGTTCCTTCCTCCTCAGAAAATGCCTTCGTTCAAGCACAAATGTGTCTGACACTCCTGTGTGACTGTATGTTTTCTATGCGGGTCACTGGGGATACCCAGAGGAATAATAAAGGGTTCGTGCCTTACAGAAAGGGCACAGTCCAGTTGGAGAAAGAATTACAGTACAGACTGACACAGATAAAAGAAAGGACATAGTCGGGCGTGGTGGCGCGTGCCTGTAGTTCCAGCTACTTGGAAGACTGACGCGGAAGAATCGCCTGAGTCCAGCAGGTGGAGGCTGCGGTGGCCGTGAGGGTGCCACTGCACTCCAACCTGGGAGACACAGTGAGACTTCGACTCAGAAAAAAGAAAAAAAGAAAGAAAAGAAAGGAACGGAGAACCAGATTCTAGAACACTCAAACAAAGGAGATCCAAAGAGAGATTCTGAGATAGAGCGCGTAGAGACAATATTCAAGTTGAGGCTGAGATAGGAACAGATTCCAGACAAGATCACAGAGGTATAGATGTTGAGAGCCACTAAGAGAGGTGCTTAGAGACAGATTCTGGGACAGTGCTACCCAGAAGCACAAACCTAGAGAGGCAAAAACACCTTTCATCAGTTCAGCCTTTACTACTCTCCTCTATCTTTATCCAATCTATTTGAAGTCCATACGCCCAGATTACACACTGCAGATTGGATCTCAACCAGAGACTATTATTGAAGACCCAGGTCTTTGGCTATCCTCGGACATCTTTCAACCAGCAGCCCAATTAGAATCTTGATCCCTGACATCTTATCTTTCTTCCATATTTTTCCCCAAACCAAGGACTTCAGGCCATAAATCTTAGCCTTAATTTTCAGCCTCATAACTGCTTTGTTTTCTCTGATATAGCTCCTTGATTGCCTTCCCATCCAGAAACACTTCCCTCTGGGCCTCCTAGTTGTTGACAACAACCACACTCATGGTCATGACACCATATTTACCAAAGAATTTAGCACCAGACTCACAATTTTCCTGTCTGCATGAAGTATTACCATCAATTTGTAGCACTTCACCTGGCCCAATATGCTCCAATCACAGTGGCCTCTTTTGTGTTCATATTTGCTGTTCCCTATGTTTGGAATGCTCTCCCCCAATCTTAGCATGACCCCTTTTTTTGGTCATTCAGAACTAAGGTCAAATGTCACCTCCCAGAGGAGTCCTCCCTGACCACTCAAGCTGTAGTCACCTAGTCACTATCCTATTGCATATTTGTGGGGGGTTTTTTGGTTCGTTTTGCTTTTTTTTTTTTTAAGTTGAAGTCACTCTGTTGCCCAGGCTGGAATGCAGTGGCACACTCATGGCCACCACAGCCTCAACTTGCTGGGCTCAGGCGACCCTTCCACCTCAGCATTCCAAGTAGCTGGCAATACAGGTGCGCGCTACCATGCCCGGCTAATAGTTTGATTTATTGTAGAGACGAGGTCTCACCAAGTTGCCCAAGCTGGTTTAAAACCCATGGGTTCCGGCAATCCTCTCACCTCGACCTCTCAAAGTGCTGGGGTTATAGGCTGAGCCACCGCGCCTGGCCCTTATTGCCTGTTTGAATTTTCTGCATAGCACTAGTGGGTCCATAATCCTTTTTCCAACCTTGAATCCAGATGTGTTTTGGAATAGAGTTTTTTCAATTTTAAAAAGGAAGACATAACTCTACATACATAACTCTTTCTAAGGTATATTATTCTATATTATATAACTACTGAGAAAAGTCTGGAACATCATAATTAAACATTGATATTTCTAAAGTGAAACGTATGGCAATTCACACAAAATGTGAATAAAGACTATAAATAGCCTCACACTACTTCAGGTCAGGTTTTGCCACCTAATGAGTTTGAAAAAACAATCTTATGATTTTTAGAATTT